TTACAAATAAGGTTCCCCTTTGACCTCAGCTCCCAATTCTAATCCTCAGGAGGCCAACGCTGGTAGGATGTGAGGCCTGCATAGATTTGGTTTGGACACAGAGATGCCCTCGGGGTCTGGGCTGTTTCCACTCCCTACTCGGCATCCTTGGTGTTGGCTGTTGCCTCTGTGTCTGCTGCCTCCTGGTTCTGTGTTAGCTGTGGCACTTCCAGATTTCACATCAGCATTCCAGGCCCAGAACAGGAGGAGGGGTCAAGGCTCAAGGGCCAGGCCAACTAATAGAGGGTTTTGGGGTGTTTTTTTTTTTGGAGACAGAGTCTCACTCTGTTGCCTAGGCCAGAGTGCAGTGGCCTCAGCCTAGCTCACGGCAACCTCAAACCCCTGAGCTCAAGTGATCCTCCTGCCTCAGCCTCCCGAGTAGCTGGGACTACAGGCATGCACCACCATGCCTGGCTAAATTTTTTGTTTTTATTTTTAGTAGAGATAGCGTCTTGCTCTTGCTCAGGTTGGCCTCGAACTCCTGAGCTCAAGCAATCCTCCTGCCTCAGCCTCCCAGAGTGCTAGGATTACAGGCGTGAGCCACCGCGCCCGGCCCAACTAATAGAGTTTTGTTTTGTGGATCTAAGAAAACAAATTATGAAGCACCACCCATTTATGCACATGTACTAAATACGAATGTGCAGTTTAATGGATTGTTACAGCGTGAGAATCCCTGTAGCCACACCTCGGGCATAGAAATAGAGCTTTGCCAGCCCTGGGAGTCCCCACGTGCCCTTCCTAGTCACGGCCCTCACACTGCCCCCATGTGGACTTTTCTGGAAATCACTTCCTTGTCCTTCCTTATAGCTGTACCACCTGCCCTTGTGTCCTTGGGGCTTGTTTATACACCACTGTCCTGTTCCACACGTAGCTCCCCTCCCCTGGCGCCGTGTCCCGGCATCTTTCCCACCACTGTGTGGAGAGAGCCCCGTGCGGCTGGTCCGTGCTCCCGGCCATACCTGGCGGCGGCGTGGGCTCATGCTGGTCTCCTCGCCAGGCTGCCGGAGGAGGCCCGCCACCGGCGGGTGTTTGAAATGGTGGAGGCGCTGCAGGAGCACCCCCGAGACCCCAACCAGATCCTGATCGGCTACAGCCGAGGCCTCATTGTCATCTGGGACCTGCGGGGCAGCCGCGTGCTCTGCCACTTCCTCAGCAGCCAGGTAGGTGGTACGTAGGATGCCGGCCCCGCCACGTGGCTCTCCCAGGCCACCGTAAGGCACATACATGCCTGCACCAAAATGTGGGGATGTGGGCGATGAGAACACTGCCCCATCCCAGCTGGTTGCTCTCTCTCCTTCTCTCTTCCTCTTCCTCTTCCTCTTCCTCCTCCTCCTCCTCTGAAGCAACTGGAGAATGTCTGCTGGCAGCGGGATGGCCGCCTGCTCGTCAGCTGCCACTCGGACGGCAGCTACTGCCAGTGGCCCGTGTCCAGAGATGCCCAGCAAGCAGAGCCGCTGCGCAGCTGTGTGCCTTACGGTCAGTGCCTCGCCTGCCTGCTGGGCCCTGCCCTCCCGCCTGAGGCCTGCCCTGCCTTCGGGCGTAGGGTGCCCACCTCATAGGAGCAAATCTCGGGGCCAGACAGGGTAAAAGCTTTGTCTAAAGCCACACAGCAAACGGATACAGTGGACACCATTCGGGTAATGGGCACATTTATGGCCCTGACTCAAGCCATGTAACAAAAACATTTGTACCCCCTTAGTATTTTGAAATTAAAAAAAGAAAAGCCACACAGCACGTTTCCTGATGCCCAGCATGGCTTTCTCAGGGACTGCTCAGAGCAGCTCCCCCAAGCATGGGCGTCCACGTGGGTACGGGCATGAGGATCCGTGCCCATGGGGACCCACACGTGTCTGAGAGTGGCGGGATCCATTCAGGCTAATTCCTTTTCTTTTAGGTCCCTTTCCTTGCAAAGCTATTACCAAAATCTTCTGGCTGACCACCAAGCAGGGGTAGGTACTGGTGCTCTGTCATCTTTCCAGAACCTTCCTGGAGGGCTGGGAAGGCTGCTCAGGCCTCTGCCTGGGGAGACAGTGCCTAGTAAACACCCTCGGGTCCCACGGCGGGGTCTTGGACACCGGGAAGGGAGAGCGGCGCAGACTCGCCGCTCAGTGGCTCAGCTCCTGCTCAGCCCTCTCCCTCCTTCCCGCCACCCTCCAGAGAGGATTTCCATCCGCAGGTTTCAAACTCCATTTCTTCAGACAAGATGATTCTGGGGGGCCTGATGTTTAAGCAGATGGGAGGGGGGCACTCAGGGTGAAGCAGGAGGGGCTGCCGAGACTCAGAACCCCCCGACACCCCCAAGTTCTCCTGGGCTGTTGCCATCGGGAAAAGCTGGGGTCGAGCCCCACTCCTGGGGACCTTGACTGATCACCCTGAGACGGGCCTCCCTTCCAGGAGGGGAGGCCCAACGCTGGCACCTTGGGACCCGCCACAAAGGCTGGTCCTCCATGCCAGGCCCCGGCCCACCCCCGCTCCTCTATGCCTCCCAGGATGCCCTTCACCATCTTCCAGGGCGGCATGCCACGGGCCAGCTACGGGGACCGCCACTGCATCTCAGTGGTCCACGATGGCCAGCAGACGGCCTTCGACTTCACCTCCCGTGTCATTGACTTCACCGTCCTCGCCGAGGCTGACTCTGCGGCTGGTAGGAGAGCTTCTGGAGTGGGCGTGCGGGGTTGGGTGTGGGAGGCGTGGGCAGGTCCAGGCGGGGACCTGCATAGGCGTTCCCAAACCTGCCAGTGTCCTGGGTGTCTGAGCCTCACTGCACCCCTTCTTAGTGCCACCCCGGCCAGCAGCCCCAGTCGGCTCCTTTCTCCCCCCACTGCCATCCTCCGCAGCTGGAGACCCGGCCTGGCCACACCTCCTGCCTGCCCTGGGCTCTCTCTGCCCTTCCCGGGCTCTGGTGGGACTTAGCCCGGGGGCGGGTCTGCACTGTTGGGTGTAACACCCACCCAGCTGAGGCAAGAGGGTCCTGCCCGGACATGGTGAAGCCTTCCTTCTGGGTGGGGTGGGAGGTGGTCGTGTGGGGCCGGCTCTGGGCCACCCTCCTGGAGCTCCGACAGAGCAGCGGAGCCCTGAGGCAGCCTCACAAGTTGGGTGACAGGCAGGACCAGAAAGGGCAGAAACCTGGAGGCGGCCCCAGCAGTGTTCTGGGAGGGAGGGCCCTCTCCTAATGGCCCCATGTGGGAGGGGGCTGCTCGGGACACCTGGCTTGCGTTGTTACGGCTTCTCCACTGCGGAGAGGGCTGCAAACCTGCTTCCCTCTTTCTCAGCCTCATTTCCCTCCTCACACCCTGGATGCTGGGAGCAGGGCCCGGTGCTGCCTTGGCACAGAGCCTGGGGCTCCTGGGCTGTGGTGGCCCCACTGTCCTTGGCTAGCTGGGCCTGGCCCCCACCCAGCAGAGGTCAGGAAGGTGGGGGAGAAACTCGCTGGGCTACATGTTTAAGTCCAGTGGCTTTCTAGGCGGGCCACCTTCCCGTGACTGTCCATCTGTGTCCCCAGTTCCACCAGACCTGGGTATGGGGCACGGTGAGTGGTGCCCCCATCAGGCAAGACGTGGGCACCCCGAGGTGTGCGCATAATTGCTCGGCCTTGCAGGGCCCGCCCAGGTGGTCCTCGTCAGTGGGCCCCCATGTGCCAAGCCCTGTTCCAGGACAGACAAAGCCCCTGCCCCTGTGGGACGTAAGTTCCAGAGTGGGGAGACTGAGCCAGCAGGTGGACGGATGATGTCAGAGGCGAGAAAAAGCAAGGCCAGGTTGGGGGTGCGGTGCCGATGGAGGGAGGGTTCCAGAGTGACGGGGTGTGACACCAGATGTGGCCAGCACCAGATCACACAGGGCCGTGGGGGCCTGGGAAGGACTTTGGGTGCGTTTTGAGAGATGCAGGCCCCACGCAGGGGCGCTGTGATCTGGTCTTGGCCCAGAAAGGGTCTGTCTGGCTGCGTGGAGGGAGCGTGGAGTGAGGGTAAGACAGGAGCCCCATGAGCATCACGGGAGGGACAGTGGTGGCTGGGGCTGTGACAGAGTGCTAGAGCACTGGCTGAGGGTCCTGGTCAGGGCTGCACTTGGTTCTGTAGAGGGCTGGGTGGCAAATGTCTTCTCTGTCACCACGCCACAGTCCTGCCCCTGCAGAGTGGGTGCAGCCACAGACAAGATGCCCCCCAAGGGGCAGACTGTGTCCCGGGACAGCTTCATTTACAGAAATTGGCTCTGAGGTGACCCCTTGTGTGGGAGGAGAGGTGAGTCAGGGTGTCTGGCTTGAGCTTCAGGAAGCCTGGAGAAGGCTGGGAGGGACAAGCTCCCGGGTGGGTGGGAATGACGTCGGGGGACTTCCAGGGGAGACGCTGAGTGGATAGCTGGGGCCTGAGAGTCTGGAACACGAGGGAGAGATCTGGAAGATGCACGCTGGAGCCGTCCATGTACGGAAAGCCGTGGGACCAGATGGGGCCGTCCAGGCAGTGAGGGAGACAGGGGCGCCTGAGGCGGTTAGAGGTGTGGAGGTTGATGGGATCCAGCGAGGGAACCCAAGGCTCATTCGGGGGCGGGGGAGCTGTGGGAGGCACAGCCAGGATAGGCGCTTCTAGAGGGGTGTGGTCAGCACTGCGAGGCCCAGACAGGTCCAGGTGGGCACTTGACCTTACAGGGCAGCAAGGTGGGGTCATGGGTGACCTAGACTAGCATTTTTTGCTGGGGACAAAGGCCTAGTTGTAGAGGATTCAGGAGAAAATGGCAGGGGAGGAAGTGGGCAGAGAGGTTGGGCCACTGTTCAAGAGGCCGTGCAGGACAAGGGAGCTGGCGTGGGGACCCCCGGGGCTCTTGAGCAGGACGTGCCAGGCTGTGCGGGGCGTGTGGCCAGTTGAGGCTCCCAGAGCATACTGATTTAAGGCAGAGTCACGGTGGTCAGCTGGACTAAAGCTCTGCGCAGGTGACTTGATGGTGGCCTGGGGGGGCCTTCCCAGGAGGACAAGGGCCTGAGGCCTCCAGCTGGGTGGCACCTGGCGAGGTCGGTCTGGGCTGGGGAGGAAGCATAGGGAGCTGGGGGGTGGAGAGGAGATGAAACGAAGGTTTTGTCACCAGCGCACATTCGTTGAGCACCAACAAGCCAGGCCTGAGTGAGGTGGTTGCGTGCAGTAAGAAAATGCCACCCTAGCGGTGTGTGCTGAAGGCCACGCCGTCTTCTGCCTGCCTGGAGAGCGGCAGGAGGCGCGTCCGAGCCTGGGCTGGTTGCCCCAAGCAGGGAGAGCAGGCCTGTGGAGGAGGAGCGGGGAAGAGGGTCAGCAGGCTCAGCTGCGGGGCCTGGGGCCCCCTTCCTGGTTGTGGCCCTGGCTGGAGCCCCGGTCCCAGCCCGGTGGGTCCTGCCCTGGGAGCCCCGTGCTGCTCAGCTCTCTGCAGCTTTGGACACAGAGGCAGGGCTGTCCCCACACCTCTGCCCTCCTGGAGGTGGGAAGACTCTGCTTGAGCGTCCGAGAGCAGAGCTTCCTGGACCGCAGATTCCCTGCTCCCACCCTGGAGCGCGTGACCCCGCAGTGCTGGGTGGCGTCCTCCTGGCCCCTGACCCTGGGCCTGTACCCCCAGCCTTTGACGACCCCTACGCCCTGGTGGTGCTGGCCGAGGAGGAGCTGGTGGTGATCGACCTGCAGACGGCGGGCTGGCCGCCGGTGCAGCTGCCCTACCTGGCCTCCCTGCACTGCTCCGCCATCACCTGCTCCCACCACGTCTCCAACATCCCCCTGAAGCTGTGGGAGCGCATCATCGCGGCCGGCGGCCGGCAGAACGCGCAGTTCTCCACCATGGTGGGTCCAGCCCCTGCCCCGCCCACGCTTTGGCCGGACCCTCCCACCAACTCCTTGGTCTCCTCCTCTAGGAGTGGCCCATCGATGGTGGCACCAGCCTGGTCCCAGCCCCGCCCCAGAGGGACCTGCTGCTCACTGGGTAGGTGACTTTGCTGGTCTTCCTCTTCCCAGTAGGCTATTGGGGTGGGAGCAGAGCCCAGAGGTGGGTGTGCCGGTCCCTGGGCACCGGCTGGCATCTTCTCATGGCGGGCAGGTGGGCTCTGCCCACAGGCACGAGGACGGCACGGTGCGGTTCTGGGACGCCTCTGGCGTCTGCCTGCGGCTGCTCTACAAACTCAGCACGGTGCGTGTGTTCCTCACGGACATGGACCCCAGTGAGAACCTCAGTGCCCACGGCGAGGATGAGTGGCCCCCTCTCCGCAAGGTGAGGCCAGGACCCTGGGAACCAGGGAGAGTGGGGACGGGCTGGGCCCAACCCCTATGACAGGGGCCCTCTCCCTCGTCAGGTGGGCTCCTTTGACCCCTACAGTGACGACCCCCGGCTGGGCATCCAGAAGATTTTCCTCTGCAAATACAGTGGCTACCTGGCTGTGGCAGGCACAGCAGGGCAGGTAGCAGGCTGCGCGGGTTGGGGACCTGGGGCGGGGCGGGAGTGGGCAGGTGGCTGGGCAGCGTCCAGGCCTATGAGCTTCCTTCTCAGGATGGGGGGCAGCCTCCCGGGAACCCACCTGATGATGTCACCAGGAGCACATGCCGTCATTCTGTGTTCTTCCTCGTGGGTGGGGGTCGCTCCATCCCATCAGCGGGACGCCCCTGGGATGGTGGTTCTGCATCCAGAAGTCAGAACTAAGGGCCAGGGTTGGACTGAGGCCCCTATCCCTACTTAGGCCCTGGGCCTTGGCATGGGTCCCGGGTCCTTCGCTGTCCCACGTCAGGATTCCTGAGGTTCTGCTGTCCCGTTGCTGGGGCTTGCTGAGCCGCCCGCCGCCTGCCAGGTGCTGGTGCTGGAGCTGAACGACGAGGTGGCGGAGCAGGCTGTGCAGCAGGTGGAGGCCGACCTGCTGCAGGACCAGGAGGGCTACCGCTGGAAGGGGCACGAGCGCCTGGCCGCCCGCTCAGGACCCGTGCGCTTTGAGCCTGGCTTCCAGCCCTTCGTGCTGGTGCAGTGCCAGCCCCCGGCCGTAGTTACCTCCTTGGCCCTGCACTCGGAGTGGCGGCTTGTGGCCTTTGGCACCAGCCATGGCTTTGGCCTCTTTGACCACCAGCAGCGGCGGCAGGTGTTTGTCAAGTGAGCAGTGTGGCTGGGGCCCGGGGCTGCTGGGACAAGGGGCTGGCAAGGACCCCCCAGGCCTGGCAGCACTGACGGCCGACATTCCCCCTCCAGGTGCACGCTGCACCCCAGCGACCAACTAGCCTTGGAGGGCCCGCTGTCCCGAGTGAAGTCCCTCAAAAAGTCTCTGCGCCAGTCGTTCCGCCGAATGCGCCGCAGCAGGGTATCGAGCCGGAAGCGGCGGCCCGCGGGCCCCCCAGGAGAGGTGAGCCTGGAGCCCAGGCTCAGCTTGGAGTGACCAGCCGTGGGTCCACAACAGCCTCCTCCCCGGGCCTGCTGCGCCACAGGCAAGGCCCTGGGTCTGGGCCGCATAGATTCACCGTGTGTGACCTGAGATAGATCGCACTGCCTCTCTGTGCCTCAGCGTCCCCAAGTATAAAAGGCAGTAATTGTAGTACTTACCTGAGAGTTCAGTCCCGGGAAATATCAGTGACTTTCCTGTTCTGCCTCTTTCTCCCTCCACTGTGCTGGGAGGCCAGACAGGCTCCCCTCGGGACACTTCCCACTTGGACAGGGTCCCTCTGGACGCAGGCCAGACAGGTGGTTGTCATGGCTGCGGCCAGCATTGAACCAACCAAAGCCCCTGGGGAGGTGAGGCCAGAGCCAGCCCTCAGGCCAGCCAACCCGCTGCAGGTGCAGGAGGGCAGCGCCAAGGCGGAGCGGGCAGGCCTGCAGAACATGGAGCTGGCACCCGTGCAGCGCAGGATCGAGGCCCGCTCAGCGGAGGACTCCTTCACGGGCTTCGTCCGGACTCTCTACTTCGCTGACACTTACCTGAGGGACAGTGAGTGGCCGGCCTAGGATGGGGGGACATGCTGGAGGCTCCTGCCTGGCGGGAGCTGAGAGGGGGTCCCCCTGTGAGCAGGGGCAGACCGTAGCCCCCACCTGGGCCTCTGCGTCGGCCTGCCCTGGCCTCACGTCCAGGCACCACCCCCCTCTAGAAGCATGGCCTTGCACATGTCACTTAACCTTTCTGGGTCTTGGTTTCTCCCTCTATAAAGTGAGCTCTTCCTCCTAGAGTGACTGTGGATGGGGCTGACACAGTGCCTGCTGGTCCCCAGTGGGCGTGTGGGAGCATCTGCTTCCCAGCTGGTTCTCCCCCACCAGGTGGGCTCTCCGCTGCCGTTTCCCAGCAAGGGCCAGCTGTCCTGGGTCCAGGAGCGTCTGTATACGAGCCCGTGTGGCTGTCAGAGCACCTTCCCCACCTTCCTCGGGAGGGAAGCTGGGGACGTGGACCCCAGCTGCCCGACTCCCAGACCTTTCCTTCTTTGCAGGCTCCCGCCACTGCCCCTCGCTGTGGGCTGGCACCAACGGGGGCACCGTCTACGCCTTCTCCCTGCGCGTGCCCCCTGCCGAGCGGAGGATGGATGAGCCAGTGCGGGCGGAGCAGGGTGGGTGCTTGGCGGGGAGAGCGGGGGGCTCTCAGGCTGCCCGGGCCTGGGCGGGTGGTGGCCCTGGCCTTGCTGCCCACCCACAGCCCTGCCGCCTGCCTTCTTCCTGCAGCCAAGGAGATCCAGCTGATGCACCGGGCGCCCGTCGTGGGCATCCTCGTGCTCGATGGACACAGCGTACCCCTTCCTGAGCCCCTGGAAGTGGCCCATGACCTGTCAAAGAGCCCAGATATGCAGGGAAGCCACCAGCTGCTCGTCGTGTCAGAGGAACAGTTCAAGGTGCCGCACAGGTGGCAGCAGGGTCCTTGGAAATCCCCGGGACATCTAGGAGCCTCAGACCCTGGGCACAAATGTGATGGCTGGGACTTGGGCTTGTGCGAAGTTGTGTCTGAGGGGTTGCAGAGGCATAGGAAGGAAGAGGAGAGGTCTTGGGTCCCTGTGCCCCAGGGTCAGAGGCAGGGACTGAGGCAGGACCTATGTCCGTGGAAGGGACAAAACCCAGACATGGAAGTCAGTGACCTCGGCATCCTCCCAGTCAGAGAGCTGGGGGGGCACTGAGCCCTAGCAGGGTTAGCTGGGACGCTGGGAGGCGTCAGCAGCGGCAGAACTGTGCACTGGCCGCAGGCATGACCAGTCACCCCGCACCCCCAGGTGTTCACGCTGCCCAAGGTGAGTGCCAAGCTGAAGCTGAAGCTGACGGCCCTGGAAGGTTCGCGAGTGCGGCGGGTCGGTGTGGCCCACTTTGGCAGCCGTCGAGCCGAGGATTATGGCGAGTACCACCTCGCGGTCCTCACCAACCTGGGCGACATCCAAGTGGTCTCACTGCCCCTGCTCAAGCCCCAGGTGCGCTACAGCTGCATCCGCCGGGAGGACGTCAGTGGCATCGCCTCCTGCGTCTTCACCAAGTATGGCCAAGGTGTGCGAGCAGGGCTGGGACAGGCGCGGGGCCCCTGGCGCTGCTGGGGTGGGCAGGGCCGCTGCAGCTCTGGCGAGGCTGGGTGCGGAGCTGTGAGGATGGCCCCAGGCCTTACTCCAGCCTTGGCAGCTCGAGGGCCCAGGAGCCCCGGGCGGGCCTCACTTGCCTTTTCTTCCACTCCCCAGGTTTCTACCTGATCTCCCCCTCTGAGTTTGAGCGCTTCTCTCTCTCCACCAAGTGGCTGGTTGAGCCCCGGTGTCTGGTGGATTCGGCAGAAACCAAGAACCACAGCCGCCCTGGCAATGGGGCTGGCCCCGGGAAGGCCTCAGGCCGGGCCAGGTGGGTGGAAGGGCCAGAGGCCTCCCCAGCCTCTCCCCCTGCTGCTTCCCTGAGATGCCCGAGCTCCCTCCACTGACTGGCCAGAGCCCCCCTCTACCCCCACCCCAGGCTCTCTGTGCCTCTTCCTGGTCCCCTACGTCCCGTGCAAGCTGCCCATCCAGGGCAGGGCTCGGTTTACCCACCAGGCTCCCCCTGCGTGGGTGTCCAGGCCAGCTGACTTTCACTTATTCTTCATGGGAACGGGACTTCCAGAGCCAGGGCAGGGAGCCCGGGGGCCCTGTCCTCACGCTCTCTCCCCCACAGGAACTCAGGGAGCCAGAGTGATGGAGAGGGTAAGACGGGCCTCCTGGGCCACACCTGGGGCTGGGCAGGAGGGAAGGGCGCCCCTAGCTGAGCAGGTACTTTTGGGGTTGGGAGTAGAAACAGCATTCCTTCCAGCCCTGGGCTCGGGGCTCCCAGCACCCCCACCTTCGTAAGGTGAGAACCAGGCAGAGGAAGGCCCAGGGCGGGGCTTGCCTGACCTGGCCTCTACCTTCCAGAGAAGAAGCTAGGCCCGGTGATGGAGCACGCTCTGCTCAACGACGAGCGTGAGTCAGGCGGGAGTTGGTGGGGTTGGCACGAGGTGAGGCGGGGGGGCTTGGAGGGCCGGGGTGCAACAGACCTGTCTAGCGCCCCATGGTAAAAGGGGAGAAGGCCTGCTGGCTGGCCAGCCTCACCGGGCCTCCGTCCTCCACCCTGGCCTGCAGGAGTCCTGAAGGAAGTGCAGAGCACGCTGGAGGGAGACCGAGGGTGAGTGACTGCCCGGGCTGGGAGAGGTGTCAGGAGAACACTGAGAATGAGGGGCCCCGTGGATGGTGACTCCCCGTCTCTGCTGATGCAGGAGCTATGGCAACTGGCGTTCTCATCGAGTGGCCGTTGGATACAGCCTCAGCAACGGGGGAGGTAGGGGCTCTGGCCCTTGGACACTGCTGCGGGGGATGGGCTTCCTGGGAGGGAGAGGAGGAAGGGCCCCGGGCCCTGCAGGCCTCTGGGTCCATCCCAGCCCTGACACATGCTCCAGGTGTCCTGGAAACCACCGTGTCTGGGCTCAGAGTGGGCGACTGAGGTGTCCCGTCCTGCCCAGGGCCACCCTAAGCTGCTGTCCCTCCATGTCCTTCTACAGCAGAGTGAGCAGGATGGGCGTCCAGGCTGCGTGAAGAGCACACACTACTGAGGGCCCTTCCTCGGGCCTGCCCCGGCTGGAGAGGCCCGTGCACTGGGCCGGGCCAGGGGCTGGGGGCGCCCCCGGTTTCCACCCTGCAGCTGCTCCTGGCCTTGGGCAGGGGGCGGCCCCGGCCCCTGGGGCTGGCCCTGTGGGGCCTCAGTCCCTGGGTCAATGTTGCACAGTTTTTATTCCTCCCATCCCCCCTTTTTGTAGTGGGCTGGGTTTTAAATTATAAAATTTAACTGCCTCTGGGTGATAAAGTTTTTAATAAACACCTATTACCTCTTCACTGGACTTGTCCACCTGCTGTTTCAACTGCACAGAAATTTTCCCTGTAAATGCAAAGCCTCAGCCGCAACCTTGCCTTTCCCGCTGGGGTCTGGCCTCTGGCCCAGGCTGGTGGCCAGGAGAACCCGTTTAAGCTGTTTGAATCGGAGCGAACTGAGCTTGGGCGTGTCTGAGCACCCCTGCGCGTTCTCTGGGAACAAATGGCAGGCGTGAACCATCTGTAGCCTGTGTCCCTGGGTCCGTGCCACCCGTGGCTGGCTTTTCCCTGCTGTCAGGAGGGGAAGACACCCACAACGTCTCAAACCTGGTGGCTTCTTCTGGACCTCAGGGGGACTGGGGTGCCGCTGAGGTGGGGAGCAGTGCCTGGAGGTGAGAGGCCTTTCCCCTGGTCCCCTTAGTGAGGGGCTCCGTTAGACGGCGGGGAAGGGCTTTAGCAGCCAGACGTTTTGCTTGGACTGGGCTTGTCTTTATTGACCTGTCTTGAGAACCTATTAATGCCAGGCGCTTGGGGTTCTTAGGTGTCCAAGACACGTAACGGTCCCTGCTCTCGTGGGGCTCACAGTCCTTACCGGTGCAGGGAGTGTCGGATGAGGGCACCTGTGAGACATGCATCTGCGAGGTGACATGCTGTGCCCGGAGACAGGGCCCGGAATTGGCTGGGCAGAAGGCGTGGCGGGCGGCAGACTGTTGTGGGTGGAGGACAGAGGGGCCAGCAGCAGGCAGGGAACTTGGCCGTTTGCTGAGAGAAGCAGCGGGGAGCTGGGGGTGGCTAGTGGGAGGCCAGACTGGGGCCACGGGGGCTGCCCTGCCTGAGGGAGGAGAAGGGCCCATCAGCAAGAGACGAGCACCAGGCGCTGGGGCAGACGCACCGGGCCCTCGCCCACCCTCTGTGTGGGCACATCCAGCTGAAGGATCTCCAGGTTTGGGGACTTGGGCCCCTTGCCCATCCCCTGTTGCTCCTTGGGAGGACGCAGAGGGGCTTCTGAGGTGGGCACCCGAGAACCACGAGTGCAGAGGAGCGGTCCCGGAAGAGAAGAGGAGTGCTGTGCCCGGAGGAAGTGGGCAGGGATGCTGGCAGACAGAAGCCGAGCCACAGAGGTGAGGGGACACCTGGTAAGGCGTCTGAAGGAGTCTGGGCTTTATCCTGAGGCAGCAAAGCATCCGAAGAGTTTTAAGAAGGGAAGGGGCCGGGCGCGGTGGCTCACACCTGTAATCCTAGCACTCTGGGAGGCCGAGGCGGGCGGATTGTTTGAGCTCAGGAGTTTGAGACCAGCCTGAGCAAGAGCGAGACCCCGTCTCTACTAAAAATAGAAAGAAATTATCTGGACAACTAAAAATATATATATAGAAAAAATTAGCCGGGCATGGTGGCTCATGCCTGTAGTCCCAGCTACTCGGGAGGCTGAGGCAGGAGGATCGCTTGAGCCCAGGAGTTTGAGGTTGCTGTGAGCTAGGCTGACACCACGGCACTCTAGCCCGGGCAACAGAGCCAGACTCTGTCTCAAAAAAAAAAAAAGAAGGGAAGGGCTCTGCCGAAATTTGTCCCAGAGATCACTGTCGTTCAATTCCTGGCCAAGGTCCACTCGGGTGAGTCGGGTGACTTACTTACCACTTTCTTCTGCAAACCAGGAACGACAAGAGTCCTTCCCTCAAGGGCTATTGTGAGGTTCACAGGAGTCCATGAGTTACTGATAGGCGGGGCACACGAGCCCCATCTGGGACAGGAAGAAGTTGTTAGAATTCTTCGCATAGGCTGTCTTTGTTTCTTACCGTAAAAGAAATTAAGCTTTACTGTCTATACTTTGGGTTGATGCTGGGGTCCTTGGTCTGTAGGTCAGAGAGTTGCATACCAATAGGTATTGTCCAAGGGTTGGAGGGAACGTCACACCCTGGAGAGCTGGATGCCCCACCCTAGCATATGGGGACTTGTGTGGGTGTTTTTTTTTTTTTCTTTAAGGCAGAGTCTCACTCTGTCACCCTGTCTAGAATGCAGTGGCATCATCATAGCTCACAGCAACCTCAAACTCCTGGGCTCAAGTGATCCTCCTGCCTCACCTCCCAAGTAGCTGGGAATACAGGCATGCGCCACCATGCCCGGCTAATTTTTCTGTTTTTTGTAGAGATGAGGTCTCATTCTTGCTTAGGCTGGTCTTGAACTTGTGACCTCAAGCGATCCTCTCGCCTCGGCCTCCCAGAGAGCTAGGATTACAGGTGGGAGCCACCATGCTCAGCCTTGTGTGAGTGTTTGTGAATTTAAGGTGATGTACAGCTTGTTTTATCCATTTAGCTAAACTAACACACAAACGGAAAAGTAACATGACGCTTCCTGCCAAGAGACCAAGAATTGATGATGAGGGTGATAACGCAAGCGCCAGCGGGTCAGAGCAAAGCGGCAGAGCCAGCGCTCCGTGGCTCAGAGGAGCGCGTGGCCACAGCAATGGTCTGGCTGATGAAATTAAACAAGAAATCAAACCACACACGCCCCTGAAGACGTCGGGAAGCCTCTTTAAAAATGGATTTACTTCCATACTCCTTAAGAATGAGCTTTGCTTTAAGTACGTTCTGCTTTGAAGTGTTAGCTAATGCCAGTGCTTTGCATATTTCAGTTCTAAGAAAACATTCCCATATGGGGAGTGTGAGATGCACACTTTTTACTGATGGGTGTGCACAAATGGCAGGGCTTGCCATCCTCGTCTCTAGCAAGTGAATTGGAGGAAGCTGGGCTGGCACAGGGAGAGGAGTTGGAGGTCCTTGCAGCAGTCCAGGGGAGAGGTGATGGTGGCGGTGGGACAGAGGCATTGATGGGCTGGGTTGACAAGGACGGCTGCCACATGGGAGGAGGTGAGTGAGCGGGAGGGGTTCCTGCTGACTCCGAGGGCCCTGGGGATGGACAACAGGCACTGGATCCATGCTCTGGAGATTTAGACATGAGGGTCTTGGCATCCGAAGAGGTGGGAGACTTCGACTTTGAAGTCAGGCAGATCCAGCCCTTGAGTCCTGGCTTTTCCCGTGGCTGGCTATGTGACCTCAGGCAGATGACCTTGCTCCTGGGCCTTCATTTACTCATCTGTAAAACGGGCACAATATTAGGGCCTTCCTCAGAGGGTTGTAAGGATTAAATGAGAGCCTGTAAAATCAGACAGCACCTGGCTCCTAATAAACACCCAACCAAAGAAGGTGAAAGTTACTGTGGACAGTGGGTGAGGCCAGGAGAGGAGCAGAGGCTCCGCACACAGCCCCAAGGAGGCATTCACAATACTCCAGAGCAAAGCAGGCAGAGGAAGTGAATGGGAAGATACGCTTGGGGGTGGCCCATCTCCCATGGTGTCCAGATTAGCCTGGTGGTTCTCTGAAGGTTGTTCAAGGTCACACTGCCAGGAGGTGTAGTACTGCAGCGGGAAGGGGGACCAAGGCTGTCTGGTTCCAAAGCTGATTCTCAGCAGAAGCACTGTGGGTTCAGTGTTCATTCAACTAAGGGTCAAGGGACCTGGGCTTGGTCCCCAGTTCCTCATTTACTGGCTATGTGTCCTTTAGCTACTTCACCTCTCTGAGCCATCTCCTTATCTGCAAAGTGAGATCATAGCTCCTTCCTAGGGTTTAAGAGAAATGCTTGGGAAGGAAACTGGGGCTCGGAGGGTAAGAAGCTTGCCACGCCCACCCCGCTGGGTGAGATACAGCCCTGGCCTGGGTCGACAGGGAGGAGAGGAGGGCGCCCAAGGAGGCAGGAGCTTGGACGGGAGCACAGAGCTGGAGAGCTTGTCCTGAGCTCGCAGGACACATTGTACTGGAGCCACCAAGGAACCAGAGCTCGGTTTGCAGTGGTGTCAGCTCCTGTTGCACAGTCGACGGGAAGCCATTGGTTTGGACTGATCTCCCGCACCAGGCCCAGCAGACCAGACCAAAATGGAGTCACTCTTGCTGAAGTTCCATGCCACCACGCTGAAACCCAGGTATTTAATCTGACCTTCCAAGGAATCAGGAGAGAGAAAGAGATGATAGCCAGACCCACAGACAGGCCAGTTTTAGCTGGCATGATAAGAAGGTCACCTCTGCTCTAACCTTTGTAAGGAAAGTCATTTTGAAACGACCAATCTGCTTTTTGTTCTCTGCTTTCCTCAGCCTTTTCTGTCTATAAGGCCCACTCCTCTGCTCAGCTCATCTGAACATTAATCTTTTTATTTTTTTTTTTTGAGACAGGGTCTCACTATATTGTCCAGGCTGGTCTTGAACTCCTGAGCTCAAGCAATCCTCCCATCTCAGCCCTCTGAGTTGCTGGGACTACAGGTATGCCCCACCTCACCTGGCTTGAACATTCATCTGTTTTATAGAATGAGGTGTTGCCCAATTCTGGAATCACAAGTAAAAGCCAGTGAAGATCTGTTAACTAAATTTGTTGTAATTTTGTCTTTTGCCGCTCCTTACACCCATTCTCCAGCTGGGCCCTTGGAGCCAGACTGCCTGGGTTGGCATCCCCAGCTCTGATACTCACTAGCTGTGCCTCAGTGGTATCATCCACAAAATGGGCATCCTCATAGCACCTATTTCTTAGGGTGCTTTTAAGGATTAAGTGAATTCATAGTAAAGTGGTTAGAACAGTGCCTGGCACAGCATAAGCCCTGAAGCGCTAGCTATTTGTTATTATTATTGTTGTTTATCCAGGGCAAAACAGCGAGTTTTTTATCTTTTCTTTTTTTTCTTTTTGAGACAAGGTCTTGCTCTATCACTTGGGCTGAAGTGCAGTGGCGTCATCACGGCTCACTGCAACCTCAAACTCCTGGGCTAGAGCGATCCTCCTGCCTCAGCCTCTCGAATAGCTGGGACTATAGGTGCACACCACCATGCTCTGCTAATTTTTCTATTTTCTTTGTTTTTTTTTGTAGAGACAGGGTCTTGCTTTGTTGCTCGGGCTGGCCTTGAACTCCTGGGCTCAATGGATCCTCCTGCCTCGGCCTCCCAGAGTGCTGGCATTGCAGGCATGAGCCACCGCGCCTGGCCCTTCTGAGCTATCTTTATAAAATACAAACCAGCAGTGCACACATCATAGATGCAGCTCAACAAATCCCCACAAACTGAACAACAGCATCACCCACATCCCGGAGGTTCCCTCGTGTCCCCTTCTAGTCATCACCAGCCCTGGGGGCACCCCTCTGTAAACCACTTTGCCTGTTTTTGCACTTTACAGAAATAGAATCATGCAGCGGCTGCTCCTTCTGCCCGGCTGCTTTCACTCGCCCCTGCATCTGCGAGATTGTCCACATTGTTACAGACGATCATGGATGGTTCTCAACACTGTGTGCTGTCCCCTGTGTGAATCCCTCACCCATGTCCTGCTTCTTGCAGGAGAAAAGAGCCCTCTGACATCGTTGCCCTCCACCCGTCAGGGTTGGTGGTGGGGGTACAGCTCCAGGCTGCTACCCGTGAGCTCCTGGCCTTTCCAGCCGCTCCCTCCCCAGAAGGCTGCCTCCTTGAGAGCAGAGTCACTCTCACCTTGTTGCTCAAACCAGGCCTCTGGGCTGAGTGGCCCTCCTGGGGGACGGGGGGGAATGTGGGTGCTGGCAGCAGCTCCATCCAGCTCCAAGGCTGGTTCTAGCAAGTGTGCAGAGAGATGGGTGTGAGGCAGGCGCGGGTGGACGGGTCAGCATTCTGAGGGAAAGTGCTGCAATCTGGAATGTTCCCTCCCCTGCTCTGTGCTGGGTGGTGCTGCTGGGGAGGACAGACCAGAGCAAGATTGTCAGGGGGGCGCCGGGCGCGGTGGCTCACGCCTGTAATCCTAGCTCTCTGAGAGGCTGAAGCGGGCGGATTGTTTGAGCTCAGGAGTTTGAAACCAGCCTGAGCAAGAGCGAGACCCCGTCTCTACTAAAAATAGAAAGAAATTAATCGGACAACTA